ATCTATTTTACAGTTAAAATACATATTTAAAGCAGCAATGTACACTTGTTTAGAACTCCCTATTTCAAGTTTTTAACTAGATAAGTGAAAAGACGTTTTATACTAGATCACTAGAGAGAGAAGGGCAGAGTACTGGGTTATGCACACAGATGTGGTTCTTAAACTGAATTATTTCTTCAATTTTTGCTTCTCAGGAAACAGTACAAAGGTAATTTCTTAGAAATGTCTCCCAGGATAATACTCTAAAGTATAATCAAATAAAGCTGAAGTAAAAACTGTCCACTTAAAAATCTTTACTAAGAGAAAAATTCACACATGCATCCTAGAGCTTAATTTTTTTAGCTTCAACTTGAAAGATGTGTGCAGTCATTAGAGTGAATGTTTACATAAGAAGCTGAAGTCAAATATAGCCCTACTGTAGAAAGTAATCTGTAATTTTTTTTCTCTTTAGAAGTGTTCACTTTCTAAACTTATTGCTGAGTTTGTTTACTGTACTCTACAAAAAAGACCTGTCCCAGAATGGGTGCCTTTTTTTTTTTCTACTGAATATTTGTCAAAATATAAATGAAAATGTTACATTCAAGATATCAGATTTTATCATCTTAAGTATTAAATATTTTCACAGTTACATTTATCTTTCATTATAGTATTAAAATTTTTATTCACTGAAGCATTTGTTGATAATCAATGTACTCCTAAGAGCATTTTGTACTCTGTCAGCAATTCCTAATCTGTTTGTCACCAAAAATGTCTTCATATTTTCATGAGAAGATTTGAATTTAACAAGTACTTAAAACACAGAAAAGTAAAAATACAGAAATAAAAAACAGTAGTTTACATAACTGAGGACAGTTTATTTCTAAAATATTGAGGTATGCCTCCAGCAGAGGGCAACATTTGCAAGATGTTTACATCTACTCAAAGATCTTCTCAAGCATGGACACTTGTAAACAAACCTATTCATTGCTGTGAGTAAAACTATATGTAAATATAATGACAATACATGCATACAACTATTTGGCCAGTTGCTTATAAAGCTCATTATCTCCTTATAGAAGTGCAATCAGATTAGACTTTTTTAAAATATAAGAAGATGGAACTTTCAAAATATTTTGGCAGTTTTGTTGTATGCCCAATTTATGATTAATCATGGGCTTAAATATGATTGAAAAGCTCAGTGGGGGACAAGGCAATGACAAATGTTTGTAATAATGAATAGCTAATAAAAAATACATTGACTTTTACGAGTGGAAGGGAAGATAGCGATCCTTGCAAGCTCACTGTGTGCGCAAAAAGAAATTGAAATAATTAAGGCTAAGTAGTGGTTTTAAAGTTGCAGGGTTGATAATCCCAACAGTCTAGACTTGAACTCACCATTTGACGTCATGTTCCACCCAATAAGCTATTGATATTCAAAGTGTATCTTAAAGGCATGGAATCCTGGAAATATTTTCAAAGTTGTTGAATCTTGGGCAGCACCCTGGACCCATTGAATCTAAGTGTGTAGTTTGTCAAAATCTCAAACTCCAAGAAGTCTGTACCACTGCTAACATGTGCCCCTTCTTCACCTTCATTTCTAGGTGTATCCCTTCAAGAAGCACATCCATTCTCACTTTCTTCCTCCATAAAATACACTGAAAACTAATTTAGTTTTAAAAAATTATGAAGAGTAAATAAGGTCATCATGTAAATAAAAACACATCATAAATTGTGATATGCTATCCATGTTTCTTATATTAAATAAAACTATTGGTAAGAGAGAGAGTTCTCCCAGAAGAAAAGTTATTGAGATGGAACATAAGGTGTCTTTAACCTGTGTACAAAAACAAAAACTATGCTTGATGATGCATGCCAGTAATCTCAGCTACTCAGGAAGCTTAGACAGGAGGGGCTTGATTTGGAGACAAGCTTGAGATGGTAGTAAGACCCTGTCTCAAAGTAAAATAAACAAGACAAAAGATATAAAACTGTTCCTAGGCAGAACAATTATGTATGAAACACAAACCCTGAGCTTGATCCCCAGTCAAAGAAATAGTAAGCATTTGTAGTGTCAAGAAGAGTGCCTAAAGAAAGGAAATCATTTATGTATACACCCAAATATATGCCTTAGGGGTAATTACTGGCATTTCTTTGTCTACACACAAATTTATCAGGATCACAAAAATATGTGTTCAGTGTTTTTTATTTGTGACTACATAGGAAAAAAATCTATTTGGTCAGAAACTGGTATCTAAATACATGTCTTTTATATTGGGGATCAGCTATAAATATGGGGATCAGCTATAAATTTGGGGATCAGCTATAAATTTATTTCATTTCAGGTGGACAAGCAAGAACTCTTGCAATTTTCTAAATACACCATTTTCCCTGGGTGTAGGACTTTGCCACAGAATTCACTTTTGGCAGGACTCTTTCCAAATGCTACTGCTCTTCCCTGCTCAATTCCAATGGGATGCCACTATCTTCACTGGTCTAAATTTCTTCTCAAATATTTAGACAAGGAAGGAAATATTGTTGAATGAAGTGTTTTTCTGTATAGTTTGACACACAGTCTGGGATATTTCACTTGTTTAATTTTACCCATAATTCCTTGCAATTGTATTTCTCTATCTACTTTCTACGTAGCTCATGAAATCTTCTAAGGGATATTTCCAGACTGAGTGTAATTCTTGGCACTCATTGAATATTTTTAGAATGAATATGTCAATACTTACTCTGACTCAGATATTCAATCTGCTCTGAAGAGGAGGGAAAAGGGAGTCAGAAAATGTTTATTTCAGTGAAGATGAATGAATGTAATCATTTTATTCTACAAAGAATATTTTTCTGCTGGACTTATATTAGTTGGTGTCCCTTTATAAATATAATGAATGGTACATTTTTCATTTTTTGATAGTTTAGATATCTACTCATTTAGAGAAAACTCAAGAAGAAGTGTCTTTTTATCAACATCTGACCTTCACAGATATTTGTTAAAACTTTCATTTTTGCACAAATTCCCAAAATATAAACTCATGGATATTTCTGGGTGAATTAAATTTATTAAATTGAGTGATTAAAAATTTGAAAAACACACAGATGAGTCAAATACTGAGTAACTTGAGTATTTATTTATTATTTTCAAGGAAGTAGGTTACTGGATATCTTTTCTTTGTCTTCATAATTGATTTCCTTGTGGAAGCAAATAGAATTTATAAAAATACAGCCTTAAAAATTCAATTTACTGTTTTAGTTCAGGCAAATATGTTATACATATTTTTAAAAATAAAAGAAATAAAACTCCAGTACGTTATTTTTTTACAATTTATAGTAATGAATGATCTGAGAATTACCATCTTTAGAGGTAGCAAATGGTTTCAGCGAGTTGTGTAATGTGTTTCAGCTACCTGTTCAGCAAATAATATTGATTTGATCATTTGAACTATTCAGGACATAGTCCAACATGATTCTGTATTTAGATCTGAGATTTAGTTCTATGGTTCCTAAGTAAAATCTACTCCCCCTGTTGGCTTAAACAACAGTACTGTTTTGACCTTGAAAATATAGTTCAAGGCCAGTCTGTTTTATAAGCATTTGCTTGAATTGTATATCAGAGGTTTGTGATTCATAGGTTTCCTGTTTTGCTAAATCAAATAAATTCATTAATCCTATATCTAGCCATATAAATAAAATAAAAAATCTTATATGACAATCTCTCAAAAGTTCTTAGGAATACCTTAGGAGAAAAAAAAAAAGATTTCAGTGGATGATAAATATATTAAATCTTGAAAATATCATCAATTAATAATTTGTTGACAAACATAAGCTGTAGCTATATATTTCCTCAGTATACTGATATTTTGGCAGAGCTGTGAATGAGGTAAATAAAATGACTTCAAATTCCAAAGAATTGTATTGGATTTTCTGTCTTGCACTTAAGTGAGTGTTCTGTTATTGCTTTTTTCCTCTCCTCTCCCTCACATCCATCTTTCTTCCTTTCTTTCTTTACTACCTGCCTGCCTTTCTTCTCTTCTCAGGGGTGAAATTAAACAAATAAGTACTATAATTATGCATTTCGTGGGCATATTTTTCAATGGCAGAGAGTCCCTAGAGTTCACAAATACCACACGCACAAGTGAAGCACCTTCAAATCTTCCTTCCCTGCAGTACTGTGCTCTGAGCATAGGGCAGCAACCTGCAAGCAACTTGTCAATGTTTAATGAAGTTCTTCTCCCTGGCAAAACCCAGTACAGCATTCTTCCACCAAACTCAGGGGATGATGACATCTTCCAGCTTGGTTTCCATAGCATCCGTTCCTGAAGAGCCCGGAATGGACCTCGATCAGGTCGGTCTGCTCAGCTCCCTTCCAAAGTTGGCCCCCTGGCCTTCCGCGAGAGGCTTCCCCTCGGCTAGAAACTCGCTCTGTCCGTGGTGCTGAACGTGCTGCCATGACCCGCCCAGACGGGCATGGCCAGCCATTCTGAAAATTGTCTCCCTGATGTTACCCAAATCAGACCTGTGTATCTGTTATTTACTCACGTCTTCACAGAGCAGCAGCGCTTCTCCATCTTAAGTCGACTCTACCGCAGAGCACAGTTACGCCGGCGCGAGGGGAGGCGACCACGGGAAGGGAGGCACAACTAACAGCGGCAGGGCTCACCTGAGACCTCAGTTGCTCCCTTGAGTTTTGAAAGTGCTTCAGCTCTTTGCGGCAAAGGCACCATTTTGAGATTGACCTTACGCAAGCATTCTGTGATATTACTGCCCCCTCCGTTAAAGCCAGCAGATTTGATTGCAGTGAGTCCTGGAAATCGGGAATTAACATCTTTTTCAGTGAACTGGCTACCAGGACAAGGACTCGTCTGCACTCGCCCAAATACCATGTCACTGTGTTCGCCCTTTGCCACCAGATCCTCCCCTTCCAATGAGACTTTCTGATTGTGTCTACCAACTCTCCTATTAGGAAACCCGTGGGCTGCGTGCAGCTATTCTGTTGTATTCTCCTTCTCACGCTCCCGCCCTCTCTCACTCGCGCTCTCGTTGGAGGCACACCAGTACCAGTCCTCTGAGAAGAAAAAGCCCACAGCTACGCTAAGCTGTAGGGAAAATATGCACAGCCCTCGCTTTTCTTAGCAATCGCTACTTAAATCTGGCAAGACATCAGTCTTCTCGAGGATGGAGGCAGTGAAACAAAGGATTTTGGCCCCAGGAAAAGAGGGGCTAAAGAATTTTGCTGGAAAATCTCTCGGCCAGATCTACAGGTAAGAGAAAGCAACCCCGGTGTACCTGGAGCACACCCTGGAAACAATCTGCGGGAATATTTCCATAAACCTTGGCTGCTTAGAGAGACTGTAATATGATCAGGAAGTCTTTTTGTTGCTCATTGCTGCAGCCAAGCTGCTCAGGGAAACCTGCTTATTAATGCAGGAATGTTGCACTAAATGAACCTGTGTGTGTGTGTGTGTGTGTGTGTGTGTGTGCATGTGTGTGTGTTTATTTAGTACCTGCAAATTCTCATTCTCTCTTACCCAAGACTTATCCTCTTTGCAATTAAGAAACGACTGGTACCTGCTTTAAAAAAAAAAAAACAAAACTGTCTTTTGGTGCTTTGAATAACTCAAATGAATTCCTTTGATGCAGAACAATGAATAAGAAAATATAACCCTCTAAAATTAATCAGATATTCCAAATGATAGAAAGAAATTTAGATCTCAGCCTCAAAACCATAGTAGAGAACCCCTCAGGGGATCTCTTTCTGTGCTGAATGAAATAAATATATATCAATAATTGATACCTGAAGTAGTTCGTTTCTCTGAATCTGAAGCAATGTATGTGTATTTTAACTTATCAGCTTTCTTATAGCCACCTAGTTCTTGCATATGAAATGTCATTGTGCTTGTAAGAACAACCATAATGACAGAAAGCAAAATGACTTTGAAAGTCCTAGAAAATATATAATTATTTTTAATCTCCTTTGTCATTATTGCATCCATTATGCTATAAACTGAAACCTATTCAGTCCTTCCAGGTATGTGATATGTATATATATTTTGTTAAGCAGAATCAGCCAGAAAGGACAGACACAAAGGACAAACGATTCCATGAGGAAAGTGATTTTCACATTTGGGAAATTGAAGCCTTTGTAAATTGTAAGGGGCATAAAGAAAGTCATCAGTGTGCCCTCTCGTTTCTCAGTTTCTTCAAGTCTGGAGGGCTTCTGGTAGGGTAGGTTCCTTCCAGCACCTATGCGGCAGTGGATACCGCAAGGGCCCTGCAGTCCCTCAACCGCCCTGGATAGGGCTGCTCTTTCCCAGCCCAGCTTCTGTCAGGGATCAGGTGGGGACTTCAGGTGCAGAGTTCAACTTACATAGGCTCCTAAAGCCCTTGTAAAAATATTGCCTTAGCTGTTTTTCTCTTGAAAAACAAAACAAAACAAAACAAAACCTGACACTGTTTCCTAACACTGGGGGCTGACTTCAGCACTAGCATTAACCTCTCCTCCATTACCTTTATGACCCGTTCTGTAGGTGACATTTCTAGATTCTGGAAATGTGACATTGTTTTTCTGTTCTGAAGCGTCTTGGCGGCAACGTCCCAAGCCATTCATTCTTGGAATTGATTCGAAATATTCCTTTACTTCACTTGTGTTTGTGAGTGAAAGAAAGCAGCATGATTTAAAAGGACATAGATCAAAACTAGCTAAGGGGAGGATTTGGAAAATATTTTCAAATTGTAAATGGAGACATGCTTTGTGCAAATGTGGAGAGTATGAATCTGAAGGGGCTACAAAGCTGTTGTTTTTCTCATTCCTCCTTTGTAAAACTAGAAATTTCACAGGTTAGGAACTAGAACAACAATACCGTTAATAAGATAATTCCATCACTCCTCTCTACCTGTCCCTTTCCCCCTTCCCCCAAGGACGAAAGCCCGAAAGGAATTGACTCAGATGGGCGAAAATTTATGCACTACTATGCCAAAAAAATGATTTTTAAGTGAGATCTCCCGCCTTGGTGTGGAAATCTCACAAAAGTTGATATGGGGGAGTCATAACTGGGAGTCGCATTTCACATCTTTGGAAATGGACCTAGTGATTTTTTTGATGTTTGTAACCGAGATAGTAATGACGCAAGATTATGAATAATTAATTATTCATGTTGGAGCTGTAGGAAGCTGAGGTGTCGGCCATATGCTGCGGAGGCCTTTGTTACCAACTCCCAAGAAAAAGAAAAAGGGAAATGTGTAACCAAGGAGGGCGCGGGCACCCTTGGCTACAGCAAAAGGAAGGAGAATGCTCCATGTCCTCAGCCTTCTGGGTCTTTGCCCGGGAGAAGCATGCTAGGAGAGGCCGCGCCCCGGGGCTAGGGCTGGCCTCCCAGGAGAGGAGCGGCCACCACATCTCTAGCACGTGTGACTGAGGCAGGGACGTCCCCGGCTGGGTCTCGTTGGGTCAGAACCGCGGTGGTCCGGAGTAAAGCCGGGAAACACACAGATGGCCCGGTCGCGCTGCTGTGCGCCCCTTCCCCACAGAGCACAGACCTGGCCCGCGATCAGCTCCAAGCCCCTGAAGCTGGGTGCCAGGTTATGAGGGGCTGGACCTTGCGCCCGGCATTTGACGTCTCACACCTGGAGGTGTCCAGTCGCAGCGCGGGGTGGTGGCGGGACGCTGAGAAGGAGCCTCTGAAGCTCCCAGGCTCGGTGTCACCCCACCACCCTGACCCCTAGAGAGGGACAAGGTCAGGATATGCTAGTCAGCCCCGACGACGCCCGCTCGGGACAATGAGGGACCATGAGGCGGGACTTCGCCCCAGGGATCTAACGCGGGGCCTCCTTGCTTCCCCCCCTCTGCCCACAGGGTGCTGGAGAAGAAGCAGGACACCGCGGGGGAGACCATCGAGCTGACAGAAGACGGGAAGCCCCTGGAGGTGCCCGAGAGGAAGGCGCCGCTGTGCGACTGCACGTGCTTCGGGCTGCCGCGCCGCTACATCATCGCCGTCATGAGCGGCCTGGGCTTCTGCATCTCCTTCGGCATCCGCTGCAATCTGGGTGTGGCCATCGTGGACATGGTCAACAACAGCACTATCCACCGCGGCGGCAAGGTCATCAAGGAGGTGGGCGGCGGCCGGCCCAACGCGGGAGGCCTCTCCTTACTTTCGGAACCCAAGCCCCTCATCCACCCGCTCCTATGCGACCAAAACAGAAAACAGAACCTGGTTCGCTAGGATCTCGGCGAGAGCTACTTAATATACGTTGGGGACGGGCCGTGTCCATTCAGTTCAAACTGACACCATTTTCATTTTCCTTTGTTTTTATGGAGAAATGGAGTAGGATTTTCGTTATTATGGCCCCCATTGCCACCAGATCCCAACCCAAACATTTTTAATAATCAAAATCAAACCAAACAGAGAACAAATCAATTAGCTGCATGTCGAGAGGCCCCGGGGACATTAACCTTGAGGGCTGGGACCATCGTGGGTTCCGGGGCTGTCAGTCGGTAATCTTTACTGGGTGTATGTTGTACAGCGACACCTATAGAGGGGAGGTCACTTCAAGGACGCCGAAATCCACCAAAGTTCCTTTTGTTTAGGACCCTGGGTGGCCAGGTTGTAAACTAAGCTCAGGAGAAACACTCTGGGTGTGGGGAGCTTGCGTGTCATCCACTGAGCTCTGAGGAATCCAAGACACCCCGCAAAATGCGTTTGGTTTCAACATTTTATTCACGAGGAGCACGAGGGTAGGTACTCAGCTCCCAGGACAAGCAGTCTGAAATTTTCGGTGCAGATACTGTGCCCATCTTGGGCGTCGCACTTTGTGGCCCACAGCCCTGGAGCAACATGTCTTAACCTGAGGCTCTTCTCCCCCACCCACTCCTTCGCAACCAATGGTCCTCTCTCCACAGACTAGCCCAAATTCAAGGGCCAAACTCCAAAAGTCTCCAGACCCATCCAAATTTGAGGAAATACGCCTTCTCCTAGCCCGTCCCAGCTTTGCGCCTTCCTTCTCCATGATTTCCCTGGGTGGGTCAAGCGGATTGCAATCCACCCTGGAAGGCACTGCACCGCTGCCTTCTCACTAGTCGCCGTTGGTCAGTCCTTCGCTGGCTGAAATTCCCATTCTGGAGGCGCTGGCTAAGTCTATTCTGGGGTGGGCCAGATTTCCAAGACGGGACTCCTGAAGATTTTTCTTTCATTAATGGAATCAGGCCTCCCCATGCGGAGGTGGCCACCAAGTCTGGGCGGCAGGCCTCGCTGTCAGTCACAACATGAGCGCCCCTTATTTCAGTTACAAGAGGCAATTTTGTTAGGAAACGAAAAGCCAGGCTCCTGCCCCCGGAAACGCAGCCCTGCGTGGGGAGGGCCCGTTGGCCTGGAAGCCCCTGGAAGCGATTCTTCAGCACTGACTCTGCTCTTCCCCTTTTTCTCTTTTCCTTCCCTGCACCCCTGTAGAAAGCGAAATTCAACTGGGACCCGGAAACGGTGGGGATGATCCACGGTTCCTTCTTTTGGGGCTACATCATCACACAGATTCCGGGCGGATACATCGCATCGCGCCTGGCAGCTAACAGGTAAAGCACGGGACAGGGCCGGACCTTGACGCTCAGGATTTGCGCCCAGGAGCGCAGCGCCCAGGGGTTTGGGGGAGGCCTTGGACCTTTTCTGGTCCCTTGATACACCCCGTAGGGGCTGGGCTGCGGGCATAGCCGTCGAGAGCCGGAGCAGTGACGTTCGCCCAGGTGGGAGCGCGCGGTCGCGTCCTCTCTGGGGTCTGAATCCCTCATTCCGCGCAGTGGTTGAAGCATCTTGTGATGGGGCGCGAGTTGCGATCAGCCGGACGCGAGCAGGGGCCGTTGCGCAGGGGCATGGGGGGTCGGCGTGCGCTCCCCGCGCGTCCTGGGGCACAGGGCTCCCCTCGGCGCTGAGCCGCGTAGGGAGCATTGCACGCCGGGTCTCCCCAGATGGTGCCTCGGAGCGGAAGGATTTGCTTCTATGGAGACGGGAGGGATTTCCACTCCTCGGACGCGGCTCCACCTGTTAATGAGCGCCGCTGCTCAGGGGCGGGGTGAGCTGAGGCGCCCAGCTGCGTCCGAGGGCTCTGGAGCCCGAGCCGCGCGCGAGTCCCTGCGCCAGCCCAGGGCCACGCGCAGAGACACAGGCCGGACGGGGGGACGATGTCCAGGAGCGAGCCCGGCACCTACGGTTGAGGGGCGTCCGCTTTTGTTTCTTTGTGAGCATTTTGATGAAAACAAATCACCATAAATGCTCTTTAGTCTGAACTGGCACTAGGAAACAGGCCCCCGCCCCGCCCTTCCAGCTCTGCCGATTAGAGACCTTAAATAAAGACCTCAGGTCTGTCTTTCTCAGAGCCTGCACCTGCGTCGAGGCCCATCCTCCACTACCCCAGATCACCTTGAAAGGATAAAGACCTGAGCCGCCCCGCCCTGGTCACGCGGGCCCCTTCCTTTGTACCCCGCCCCTCCCTCCCACTGTTCCCCAAGTCCCCAGGCCCTCGCCCCAGGCTTTTGTCTCCCTCAGTCCCTTACCCGCTTCCCTCCCAGGATACTAGTCTCTAGGGCCTGAGAAAGAACTGGGAGATTTATTTTAGGCTTTCAGAGGCTCCAGTGGGGCTTTCTGGACAGTTCCGCGAGATGCGACAGGAGCGTGCCGTGGATTCACTTGGAATCCTGCCTGTTGATGTGTCTGCCGCCTAACAGTAGGGGTGGCTAACATTCAGATAAAGCGGGGCCAAATGCGCTTTTTTAAATGAATCGATAACAGATGAAAGTGATTAGCGATGAAGATCAAAGTTGCATGGATGTGCTAAATTGAAGAAAATATTGATATTAGGCAGAATCATTTAAAGACAATCTTCATTCCACTTCGTATTACTGACTGAACATGTTATAGTTTGGTTATCAAATCTGTGATGTGTCATTTCTTCAATCTTCCTTAAATTTTTGGTTGGTTGGTTGGTTGATTGATTGATTGATTGATTGATTGATTTGGAGGAACCGGGGATTGAACTCAGGCCCTTGCGCTTGTCAGGGAAGAGCTAATTACACTGAGCCATCTCCCCGGCCCCAAAATTTTGTTTTAAAACAAAACAGATGCCTGTATTTCCTGAGATGAAGGGAGGGAGGAGGGAGAGAGAAGGGAAGGAGACAGAGAGAGACGGAGGGAAGAGAGAGAGAGAGAGAGAGAGAGAGAGAGAGAGAGAGAGAGAGAGAGAGAGAGATCTTTAGGAGACAAAGTCCAATCAATACATAATTTAGTAAAAATAATAATAAAAAAAGAGATACAAGCAACTCGGTTTGCTTGGCAGTGCAGTTAAGAGTTATTTCAGAGGCAAAATATTCAGCTTGCCAAATGCTACAATGCTAAAATTGTCCTGCTGGGAAAGCATAAGTGGGATGTGTGGGGTTTCCCTGTCCGCAGCCCTGGGCTGTCGGGAAGCGGGTCTGCCAGTTTTCTAGCAGCAGCGCACACTCCGTACTGTCACTGGTTTCTCCTGTAGCCATGAAAAGGTTAAGGTGCTGCTTTGCTTTAACTGCTTTAAAGGAAAAAGTTTTGAACGTTATAATTCTTATAGGATTCAAGTTCATTGTAACTTTAAATGCATATTCAAGAGAGAAATTGAATATTTTCACATAGGTCACACTGTGTCCTGTAACAATGAGAAAATTAAATTTGTTGTAAAATACCATAAAAATATAGGCTATTCTATGCATATTTGTGCAGTGGTTTGGAGGTATTTGTTTCATTTAAAAATAAAACATTGCAAATACAGTTAAAACCTGCGAAAATAAGCTTTAAAGACATTTGACATTTTCTTCTCTAGTTATAAAAGTGTTACAAAATTATATCAAGAAAGGATAATAAAAGCACAAATAATTTAACCATGCGGATACATCTACTATTACATATATTGGTAGGTGACCACCTAATCCTACAAATGCCACATAGAATTTTATTTTAGAAAGTTTTTCATAAGTAAAAATATCACAGTTATAGCTTAGGGGCACAGCACCTTACTGGCAAACACAAGGCCCTGAGTTCAATTCCCAATTACAATAAATAAAAATAAATAAGACAGATTTGCAAAATTGGCTTGAGAATGCATATTTATTATGATTTTTATTTCAAAATGCTAACAACAGCACAGCAAAACCAGTCTCCTGCCTACTGCTTGTCCATTTATGTAAGCTTCTCCATGCAGGTCATGGAGTCAGAGGATGGAAGTGCTCTTGGGTGGAAGGCTGGGGCAGCTGCTCTTTCCTCTAGGTGTGAAAGCACCTCATGCTGGCAAATGTTTGCTCTCACTGTTCTGGGCGGAACTGGAGTAAGGGAAGCATGGTGTGTGGCACCAGCTCCCTGGGGAGCAAGGCACCTGGTTACACCACCTGGCAAATTTCTCAATGAAAACTAAGCACAATAATTTGGCTTCCCCATTTTATTGGTTAAGCAAAGCAGACACATTTCTGGTCAAAATACAACCTTTTGGTCTTGTATTGATCCTATTCTAAGATTTTTGGCCTTTGAGCTCATTGGGAGGAAGCACTGAAGGTCAGGAGGGAAAGACATTCAGTGTCCCAGGAGGGCTCCTACATCATTTTTTCCATTGTGTTTCCTTAACGAACTACATCACAGTATGAGCAGAACAGTTCCATTCTCTTTGGAGGCCTCTGTGGAAAATCAAAGGAAGATTCCCTTAAGAACTATAAGGTTTGAAGATGAGAACACAGTATCATGATGAAAACATGATAGAGCAAACATTTTCTTTCAATAATAAAGAAAATGAGACCAATAGTAATTTAGATATTCACAAATGCACAATTTCTTTCTTTCTTTTTTTGCAAAATTTATAAGGACTGCTTTTACCCTGCATTGCTGTAAGGAATGTGGACAAGTATTTAATTAGACAAAATAAAATATAAAATAACACTTTTTTGGGGAAAAGAGATGAACAAAAACAGCCAGTTAAGTTTGTTCAGCATTATCTTTTTAATGCACAACCGTGTCCACAAAACTTATTCTTGCCTTTGTCTATGTAATAATGTGGTTCATTCCTGTTTTAAAATTTTCCCTACCTGCTCCTGTATTCTTGATTTTTGCATGCAGCTTATTTTTTTTTATTACATAGCTTGCACTTGTTCTATCAATAGTCTACTCATTTATACCCCTGCTAATGTGCCCCTTGCTTCAGTAAGTGTCAGCTACATGAGAGCAGAAAGTTTTGTCTGTATTTCCCATGGCTGCATTAATAAAATCTTGAATGAAGATCACCTGGTCTAGCATAGATGTTTATTGAAAAAATAAAATAATCATCACATCAAGGTATTTTGGATCAAAGCTCTACAGCAATGATATGTAGAGTCTTACAAAATACTGTGTATGTTTGGACATCTGAATGTGTTGCTCAGTTATAAGTGTTCAACAACTTTGAGCCTTAGTTTGTATTTCTGTAGGAGACTAAACAAAGTATCGATCCTGTAGCCATCATCATAGCTAAATAAGGAAGTACTGTATCTGTAAACTTTGGGGGCGCTTGATACTAGGTAATTTTTGGATGCTATCATTTCTGACTAACACAACCTTACTTTAAGAGAAGAGTTAGAAGCTCTGTGTCCATTGAGCTTATTTGTATTTATATCTGCGTTAAGTATTATAGTACAAATGAATTCTTTCTGTGGTGACAATGCTTAGTGTCCTGTTATATTGCTTTTAAAAATTATTCTCCATTATGTGTTATTTAGAATTGAAATTACTGTTCGCTGAAACTTCCATGAGTCTTATTCCAAAGATTTAAAGAGCTATGCAAAACATATCTTCAAACAAGAATTTAGAAATTGGTAATAATGTAGTGAACACAATCTTCAAATTCATGCCAGGCATGAATATGTTTATGGAAATCCTTTCAATCTGAAAGTGAGACTTCTCTGTGGAAAGCTTCAGTTTAGTCTACCTACTTGTACGTTTTATTTATGAAGTTTTAATTTATATTGCAATATTTTGTCTGGTAGGTTTTTTTCTACAGTTCTAAACAAAGCTTGCTAAGGAAAAACAGTTCTTTATTTAAATAAGAAACTTAAGGTGTCACATCAGCCCTAGGACACGGGGCCGATGGTCAGGAACCTGTGCCAAAGCTGGGCAGGGGTGATCAAAACCAGTTCTTCCCTTTCCAAACTAGGAAGTGAGGGAGGGGACCAGGGAAGGGGTGACTCACCTCAGGGCATAGAGAGACCACACTAGAACTCGCATGTCTTGTGAAGCATGGCTGTAAACTACCCCTAAGCTGAAATTCTGAAATTTACCATCTCTGCCTAATCCTGTGTGCTTCATTGAAAAGTTTGCTTTCAGCTGCAGACTGAGCCATCTGTTCTCTGAATGAAAAACCACAATCTATCATGCCCCAAATCCAAGGGAGAAGACAGGAATTAGAGCTTGAAGCCTTTAGCAAGCCCAAGGGATCTCTATAGCTTTTTTTTTTTTTTTTGGTCAGGCAAAACATTCTGTGTGTGTGTGTGTGTGTGTGTGTGTGTGTGTGTGTGTGTGTGTGTGTGTGTTCGTG